GCACATGTGCACTCTATCAAATAAATAAATCTTTTTAGAATAAATAAAAGCTATTGTTTCCAGGTGAGAATTGTTCCTGATGGATTCTGAAATAAACTGTTCTCATCTAAATAAAGTCTTCAGGGTGGTTAGTGAGTTACTGGCCAGGTGCCACCTTGCCTTCTTTCCAGATACCTGGATATGTGTCATTTGCAAAGCACTACAGAGCAAGGCAACATAAGTCAAAATAGCCAGATATTTTACCAGACAACTCTAGCCATTAGGAAAGAGTCTAAGGAAAGGAGAGCAAAACCAGAGTATGAGATAGAGCTTTCAAAGTGGAGCAGATTCACTCAATAATTAGTTATAGGACATATGTGCCAGGGACCGTTCAGAGTTGGGAGTACAGCATGGAACAAAATGGACAAAAACTCTTCCCTGTGGAATTCACACTGGAGTGCCAGGAAATAGAGAGTCAACAACTAAATTAATAAAATATAAAATACATAATATGTCTGATGGTGAAATGTGCTGTAGGCAAAAAAAAAAAATCAAGTAAGGAATGGGAATAAACAGAGAAATGATGGATAATAGCTTCTCAAGATAAAGCAGAAAAACCCATGCATTACCCCATCAGTATCAACTCCCCTTGCCCTCGATCCACAAGTGACAGCGGGTGACCACACCATTAGTTAATACTCAGTAACTATTTTTAAGTATGCCTCAAGAGAAAACCAAAATCTCAGAAAATAAAGCAAACTTCACACACTTGTTTCAAGTAGGTCGAATTAGTATCTGGTACATTTAAACCCTCAATAAATCGTTGTTTCCTAATTCAATGGCTCAGCAAGTAAGTGAAAGGATGATAGGCTCTCCGGAAACGTGATCACAGTTCCGTCGACAGAGCCAGGCTGCTCTGTTAGAGGGACTGCAACACCTTACGATAGTAAGAACAACATGTGCTGATTGCTCACCCATACCTGGCATTCCTCTAAGCATGTCATACGGACGGTCTCATTTGAACCTCTCCACAATATTGGAGAGTCAGGGGAGGGACTGTCCAGTGGAGGACATGTGGAAGCCTTCTCTGTTGAATGGTGCCCGTCCCTATGGAGAAGGGCATCCGCATCAGCCAATAAGTTGGGTCTTGAGTAGGCTTCGGGGTAGTGATTCTAATCACCATCCATCAGGTGCTCTTCATATCATCAAGTACAGATGGTGACAACTTTCAGCCCAGCTGCCAGCTCTTCTCAGCGAATCACTGTTTCTAATAACCCTCCAGTCCAGACTCAGCACTTAATACCTTTCCCCGTTCAGTCATTCTATGGGGTTATCCAGCATTCCCTGTATCCAAAGCCCTAGAAGCAATTAGAGCTTCTATGAGTTTATATAACAGACCAAGAAAGAAGGCTCAACGTTTTAATAAAGAGGGGCACCTGCGTGGCCCAGTTGTTGAGCATCTGCTTCGGCTCAGGTCATGATCCCAGGGTCCTGGGATCAAGTCCCATATTGGGCTCCCCGCATGGAGCCTGCTTCTCCGTCTGCCTATGTCTCTGCCTCTCTCTGTGGGTCTTTCATGAATAAATAAACTTTAAAATCTTTTTTTAAAAAGCCCTTTAAAGTAAAAGCAAGCAAGCAAAGGAATGCACTTGCCCTTAGCTGGGAACAAAGGGCACAAGAGGGCACTGAAGACAGATCCCTACCTTTGGAGGCTAATTCTGATTCCCAGGATGGAGAAGCACAGGATGAGGGACTGAGAGCCACCTGCAGGTCGGGATGGGCAGCTTCACATCAAGGGGGAAGAGCTGGAAGGAACCTTGTTCCGGCTGCACAAGAGGAGGCCCCAGAAGGAGGCACAGCTGGAGTCTCCCGGCAGCTGCTCGCCAAGCGCAAGGCCGCCCCAGGCGGGCGGGAGGGGCCAGGCCTGCCTGCCTCCCAGTCCCATCTCGACTTGGAGAGCCGGACATCAGTGCTGCTTCACCAGGAGTCAGGGCTAACGAAAACCCAAATGATAATCAAGAGAGAGATTTGATTTACTGGGAAAAACAAATGGCTACAAAAGTAGTGATGTAACCAGTTCTGGAAACAAACAGTGCCCAGGTCATACTTTTTTTTTTTCCCCAGCATTTTAAAAGGAAAGAGGCAGCGTTTAGAGTGAGCAAGTGGAGGCAACAGTGTAGACGCTGGAGGGAACAGACCTGGAGGGAGGGAGCCTCCTGCCCCCTGTGCCAGATGTGGTCCAAGTTCAAGGCTACTCTGATCCTGTTGCTCTCCTGCCCCCCCATCCCCAACCCCCCCCCCAGCAGCCTCCCACTCCCCTTTAATTAAAGCCCAAACTCCTTCACTTGGCCGGTAGAGACTCCCAAAATCCAGTCTTTTCCATGGACTTAGCTCCCGTGTGCCTCTTCCAGGTGGGCATCCATCCTGAGCGGCCTGTAGGTCCTCACAGGTGCCTTCCATCCCTGTAGCCATTGGCTCAGTGCGTGGAACACTCTTCCCTTTCCTCTCCCCATGGTCATCTGACCTGCTCAGCCCTCAGATCTCTGATTCAACATCAAAGAGGCCGTCCTCACCCTCCTCTAGGTCTGCTCCCTCCATCTGTTCTCAGAATCCCTACATTTCCTCTCCCATAATACTCTTCAACTTTGTGACTGGTACTGATTTGCCAGTTTTCCCTGCTAAGGAGATACCTTAAGTGTTCATAAAACATCTGTTAAATTCATCACTAGATTGAATTGAAAATTTCTTTTTTTTTTTTTTTTTTGGCTGATGCCTATGTTTATTCCCTGAGGAAGCTTCAAATGCTATTAATCAGGGTCATTTAAAGATTCATGGATGAGTGCCAGTGTTACAGGATTACATCATGCTTGTTAAAAATGTTTATTTATTTGTTTGTTTATATTAGAGAGGGGGATGAGGCAAAAGGAGAGTAAGAGAGAGAATCTTAAATAGGCTCCACACCCGGCATAGAGGGGCTGGATCTCACGACCTGAGCTGAAACCACAAGCCGGTGGCTTACCCAACTGAGGCACCCAGGCTTCCCTGCATTACCATGTAAGTCAGCAGACATGGAGTGAAGGAGATAACCAGAAATCCAGTCTTCTAAATAGGATTAACCAGATGGCAGTCTGAACGTTGAGTAGTCTGAGCATCCTTCACTATTTTCACAACTTGGCAAGGGCTAAAATATAAACCAGCAGTTCTTTGGAATTCCTGTTTTCCCCACGGCCTGGGAAGACCACAGGCGCCGCTTCCCTCCCCGACAAGCTAGCACAGCTGTGGGGGCCGGTACCCCGCCGTCCAAGCCGCTCCCTAGTTCCGACCCTAGGTCCTTCTTTCTCCCTGAATTCTAAACTGAAAGAAAAGAAAACACATTAGGCAACATCTCAGGAGAGAAGAAAAAGGAAAATTCTAGCAGTTTAGGCATTATGATCATCCCATACCTTTCCTCATTAGTATGTGTCCCCCCAAAAACACTCTATATAACTACTTTCCTACTTAGCCTTTCCCTTACACCCAGGAGATACTATCTTTTGTCTAATTTCTTCTCACCTTCATTCATTCAGTAAGCATTTTAAGATTTTATTTATTTACTCATGAGAGACACAGAGAGAGGCAGAGACAGAGGCAGAGGGAGAAGCAAACTCCCTGCGGGGAGCCAGTTGTAGGACTGGATCCCAGGACCCCGGGATCACCACCTGAGCCAAAGGCAGATGCTCAACCATTGAGCCTCCCAGGCGTCCCTCAGTAAACACTTATAAGGCAGTTTCTGTGTGCCTCATTGACTCTAAAATTTTTGTTGTTTACAACATTATGCATTGGATGATTTAGGAGCTAAGAAAAATGCAGAAATAAGCATGTCTTCTTTATTTCAGGGGGTAAAAAATTACTACTCGGAAATACATTTAGTGAAACCTTAATGAAAAAGTTATGAATCTTTGAGTTAATGGCAACAGAGAAACCAAGTCAATTTGTCTTAAACTTCGTGACTTCATTGGCTCGCAAGTTTTGTAAAGGTGGGATGTTGTTTCAGGCATGGTTTGACCTAGAGCTTCGCATAGTCAGCAGGTTCTGGCTCCTGTGGGATTCCCTGGGCTCTGCACAGCTTCCCTTGTGGTAGCAGTTATTCCAGATCTCGCTACTTCCACAACACCAGCAGAAGAGAAGCTCTTCACCACCTCTTACGAAAGAAAAAGGAAGCCTCCTTGCTGGGAGCCCCCAGTGAAAAGAATTTTTGCCCTGTCAGTGGGCTGAATTTGGTTAGTGGCTTATCCTGGAACCACCTCACCTAAGGGAATGGTACACATTTGTTGGTTTAAGCCAGTCAGGATCGCCCTCTGAAGCCAGAAATGGTGTCCATTCCATGCTGGCTGCACAGCTAAGCAAAGTAAAACACACCCCTAAGGGGGAAAAAAAAAAAAGAAGGCTGTTGTAGAAATGAAAAGATATCAAAGAAGCAATCAACAAATGTGCATTACCCAAGTGAATCATCTTTTCCAAAGCAGCACTCAAGATGTTTCCCCTCACATGAAAAAATACATCATCACTCCTGTGTAGCTTATAGGATCCCCAATTCTTAGAATTAGAAAGAATTATAGAGACAGAATGCAAACCATATCCCTCATACTGGAGTAAAGGCTGGGGAAAATGAAGTAAACTGCCCCAGGTTACACATCTAGTTAACACCATTGAAAGGAACATAACCCAGGTGTTTTTATTTTTGATCCAACATTCCTTCTCGTATGTCAATACTACACAATCAGGGCAAAATCAGACCATATGATGTGTCGCTTCTGTTTTTCTCTAAACACAGAGTTTATTTGCAGAGAGAATACGTTTGTTGGGTTCGTGAGGAAGGGGTAGGTAGGAAAGAATGAAAGAATGGAAAAAGAGAACTTTAATAACTTTTTAATTTTGTTTTAACTCACACAACTTTCTAACACATTTATTGACCCCAAAACAAGAACCCTTCTCAGAGCTGGGAAAATGTGACACTAGGACTTCGGTAAAAAAATAATCCAGTGCTCACCTCAGCAGCACGTATGGTAAAATTGAACAATATAGAGAAGATTAGCATGGCCCCTACACAACCATGACACACAAATTCGTGAAGCGTTCCATATTTATTTTTTGAACTATTCCATATTTTTTAAAAATAATAATAATCATATCACATCACCAATAATAATCATCCATATCACATCCATATCAAGCTCACCATTACTGAGCTGGTAAATCCTGGTCGTAAGACCAAATACCATTTGGGGAAAGATGATTTGTTGGCTCCGCTCTCAAAAATTGGTGTGTTTTGAGACTTGCCAAATAATGTTCATTAGTAATGGTTTTGACATGAGGAGGAAGACTTCAAGGTAAAGAGAAAGAGCTCATGCTGGTCCATTGTTAAAAATCACAGAGCAGCCTGTGCCTGGGAGCCTGTGAACTCTCCTCCAGATCATAGAACTGCATTTCATTTTCGGGGCAGACCAGCCAAAGGTGCCCTTCTAGAGCCTGGTAAATCTATTCAGACCTCCTCCAGGCGTGGGGAGCCTATGCAAAGGCAAACAGCCCACTCAGGGGGCTGGCCTTAAACCATTACTTACTTCAGCAGTAATTCATGCAAACTTTTGCTCACTCTGCTGCCATGCCCAGGCTGCTCTAGCCTCTCTGCCTCCTCCAGACCATGCAGTCCACATTCAGCTTCCAAATATAAGTTGAATTGTGTGATTCCACCTCTTAAAACACTTTGACAAATCCAAATGTTTCCAGAATAAGCCTTCTCTTGTTAACATGATCTACAAAGTCCAGAACTCACTACCTATGATCTGCCCTGTGCTCTCACCCACCAGAGCCCTGACACTACCACTCAAGATACCTTCATTTTCATTCCTTCCTACCTCTGTTTTGGCCATTTTCTCCACTTGGAAAGCCTTTCACTGTCTTGACTATAGAGCACAACCTGACCTGTTCTTAAATCCCAGGGAAAGATTCTCTCTCAAATTCCCTAGAAAATTTCCCCTTCAATATTCCCTATAACGTTGTAATTGGGCCATTTTTTTTAACTTCTTGGTCTCCTCCAGAGTAAGGGTTGTATTTTATTCACCATTGGGTTGTTAATCCATTGCACAGAGTACATGCCCAATTAATATTTGTTGCGTTGGATCGAAGTGAGTCATTTAATGTCTGTCTTATCTTCAAAGCAATGTCAAATCACACTTTCTTCCAGAATATGTCCTAAACTATCCTAACTGCAGGTTCAGCCTATGTCTTGAGTCAAGCTGGCCAATCCCTCTATTCAAAGCCAAAAGTACAAATGCAGCCCCCAAACTCAACTCCCAGGACCAATTGTGCACTGAGCCAACAGACCTTCACATTTGAGAGCTTAGCATCAAGCACCCTTGCCACTAATCCACACTTGCATTTATTTACTTGTGAATTTAATAAATATGTGAAAGCCTACTTTGTGCTAAGCCCTATATTAAATACAAAAGAAATGTAGATAAAGTACTTATGAACCCGACCCTCAGGGAGATCAGGGTAGTTGGGGAGGGTAGGAGGTAAACAGGCAGCCCTGTTGCAAATCCTCTAGCATATCTTGCCCATCCGCAGTCTCTCTGCTTCATTTCTTGTCCTTGGGATAGTTTTTGCCTTGATTCTTATTCCAGAAACCTCAACTCCCTTTCCAGACTGAGATCTTGCAATCCTACTGCCAGAACAAAACCCTTGTCCCCAGATTTCTTTCCCATGTAACCAGCCCTTCTGCAAGTCATTCTTCAATGAGGACCTACTGGGCATGACTGTCAGCTTTGATTTTTGTATCCTGTAATCCCCAAAGTCCCTATTGCTGTGCACTGCCTATGTAGTGGGACATCTTAGATGCTTTAGGCTATAAATTACTTGACAGCAGTCTTAGCAATGTTCTGAGGTTGGGGTGTTTGGGGGAGGGTTGGATCTGTCTCCAAAGGCAAGGAAAACACAAGAAAAAATAAACAATGGGACTACATCAAACTAAGCTTCTGCAAAGCAAAGGAAACTATCAATAAAACAAGACAGAAAACCACTGAATACTTGCTGATCATATATCTGTATCTGACAAGGAGATAATATCCAAAATCTATAAAGAACTCATACAACTAAATAACAACAACAAAAAATCCAATCTAAAATGGGCATGAGACCTGACTAGATATTTTTCCAAGGAAGATATACAGATGGCCAACAGGCATATGAAAATATGCTCAATATCGCTACTCACCAAGGAAGTGCAAATCAAAACCACAATGAGATACCATCTTACACGTGTCAGAATGTCTATTATCAAAAAGATGAGAAATAATAAATGTTGGTGAGGATGTGGAGAAAAGGGAACCCTTGTGCACTGTTGGTGAGAATGTAATTTGTACAACCACTATGGAAAACAGTATAGAGTTTCCTCAAGTTAAAAATAGAACTACCATATAATCTAGGAATTACACTTCTGGGTATCTATCTGAAAAAAAATAAAAACACTAATTTGAAAAGTATACACCCCTTGTTCATTGCAGCATTATTTATAATAGCCGAGATATGGAAACAATATAAGCGTCCATTGATGGATGCATGGATTAAGATGTATATACACACCCAATGGGACGTTACTCAGACATAAAAAAAAAGAATAAAATCTTGCCATCTGCAACCAGCTGTATTGACTTTGAAGGTATTATGCTAAGTGAAATAAGCCAGACAAAGAGAAATACCACATTATTTCACTTACATTGTAGCGACTATTTACAATATGTACAGATGTTGAATTACTATATTGTACACCTGAAAAAAAATGTAATTCTATGTCAATTATGCCTCAATAGGGAAAAAAAGAAATAAATGTATAATAAAGGTAAAGGCCCAGAGGGACTAGTATTGCCAGAAAAGTTAGGTTTAGAAGAGATGCTAGAGTTTGCACTGAGTCCTCAGGGAAAAGAAAAACCATTGTTATGATGGCTTTAACCATCATAACAATATTTCCCATTTATTGGGGACCAATTATGTCCCAGACACTGTATTAGCTATATTATATATTTTTCTTCTAATCCTCACAACCATCCTTTGAAGAAACTGAGGCATAAGGAAGCCCAGAAACTTTCCCAAATTGACACAGGTAGAAAGTGAAAGAGTTGAGATAATTCAGATTGATCCCGAAGTCCACAGTCTTTCTACTATACCACAAATCAAAGAAATAATTATTACCACCTCTTCAATTTTACCAGGGTTATTAATAGAGCACCCTATTCCCTAAGAGACTCTATTAGCACCTGGAAATATCCAAGAGGTTCAAAACTTTATAAAGAAAGAAGTTTTTCTGGAAGAATCAGGGAATGGTTGGATATTCAGTTGGGTATTCAGAACTATAAAGGAAAATGCCCAACAGCAGTGTTCACTTTTCTGTCCAACTCAATAGTATTAAACATAAAATGAACTTGGACACTTCAATGTTGTTTTCTCTTCTAAGCCACTGACTTCTACTTAATAGGACAGGAAAACAGACCACTGAGCATACTGCTGAATGATGGCTCATCCTAATAAGGCTTTTTGGCGAAGTTTCTGTAGTTTCTGTCTGCCTGGAAGATCCCCTGGCCCCTTTCCTAATTGCAGGGGCTGCTCCCAGAATGAACACTAGATTACCAGCCCTAGTTAAAGAGCACTTAGGGCCACGCTGGCTTCCAGGCAGCTGCGATGGATGCCAATGATTAATTAATTGATGCCAATGGGGGTTGTAAGCTTGGGATGAGGGCAAAAAGACTGGAAGCAGACACAGCACAGCCACAGATGTCACACCCCTTGGCACTCTAGCTTCTGTGTGAGACAGTGATGAGAACACTGGGTTTGAAGTCACAAGCCCAGGTCTGGGCCTGTGGGAAATTGGGTCTTGCTAATTTCTGAAACTAATTCCTCATTTATAAATAAGAATAATTCCTGCACTACTCATTGCAGAGGCTTTGTGAGGCTCAGATAAGTTATTTGTATGTGAAAACTCCATAAAGACTATAACTAGGTTAAATGTCCCTCTCCACCCCCGCTTGAGTACTTCCATTGCAATCTGGGCTTCTCTAACTGGCATTCATCATATTTTACAGTTATTATTTCTTTGTCTGTCTTCCTCTTCTAGGCTGTACAGAGCAGAAGGAAGAGACCATATCAGTACAGTTCTCCACTATTTCCTAATATCTACCATAGTGCTGGGTACTTGGTTGGTGCTCAATAAATACTTGTGAGATAAATGGATAGATGACGAACGCTTCCCCTAGAGTGTTCATTTCTTTTGTGAAAATCTCATTCCATGGCAAAACAAATCCCATATCATCATCATTGTCTTGATTTATGTCAGCTAATGGCAACTCTGTTTCACTTCATAACTGCTATTTCAGACACAGCATGGTCCTCAAGAAGTATACAGGCAAAAGAGAATAAGACATGTACAAATGGAAATTTAAGTAACAACAAGCACAGTAAACGTCATCTCTAACAAATTCTTTTTTTATTTCAACTTTTTCAAAGAATTAATCTCTGGGGTAATACCCAACATATTAAAACTGCAAGTTTCTATATTTATAGACAATGACTGTAGACCAGATGGACTATTTTAAATACAACTCCAATTGTGTAGAAATCTCAGACTTTTCTTTGTGGAGGAGTGAGTGTTTCCTAAAAGCGCTGAGAACCAGAAGTAATTTTATGTGTGCGAAGGTATGGAGGAGAGGGTAGAGGTGATCAGAGGATGCTTCTGTAGATCCCAGTCTCACATTTTGTGTAAATAAAGATCCAGGCTCAAAACTTAAAGATAGACTCTATTTTTCACTAAGATATGCATGCAGTGAGAAGAAATTGGAAAGTAAATATAAAGCATAGGTTCGATGTCCCAATATTTAGTACTTTGAAATTACAAATGTTCTTTTATCCACTTTTATGTGGAACAAATACACATACTAAGCTAATACCTTGAGCAAGCCACCAGGGGTTTTATCTAGGAGGTATTCTTCCTCAGTGTTAAATCTACAGGGAAGACCTGAGGCCAGATATCACGTGACACAGGATAGCTTAGGGACACTTCTGGCAAGAAAGGTTGAGTGAAGCCTTTATCACTACTGGGA